CTCAAAATCAAAATAAGTACATGGCCATTAAGCCAGGCTCACTCTCATTAAGATAGCCTACCTGCTGAAGAAGGAAACTGTATCATCATCATCATCATCATCATTTAATTTATGCTTAGATAGCAACTTCAGAGTCTCACTGTTAAATCAGCCCAAGCCAATATGTAGATATGCTGTGGTCAAGATAAATAAATCCAAGCCCCTAAAGCCATTCCTTCTTTTTTAAGGACTTTTTCCACACAGCTGAAGGAATAAGTTCCTCCTGGCCCAATGGATAAATGTGACCACACACTTGGACTTGACATTCTAGCTGCCTGAAGTAGAACCTCAAATGATGTATATGGGTTTTTTGTACTGTATTTTAGTTATTTTCCCAGGTGTACTGTTTTTGTGATATTGATGCATGACAGCCAAAAGTACTGTCCAAGGATAAGTTTTCATAATTTTATGTTTCAGGTGAAAAATGTGCTTCAGTTGGGTCTTCAATGCTTATTAATTTCATACAGCATCAGGAAAGGAATGCCAAAGAAGACTGTTGATTTTAGAGCTGCCAATAAATTAATTTCTATTGTTTTCTTCTCAAAAGCAGTTTATATGAGAGTGGTCCAATTTCTTCACCCTTTGCTCATGAAACTGTACCCAAGTCCAGTATTGCAAAATAGCCTGTTGTGACCCAGAAGCAGAGGATGTTGGTACAGATGGCTGAGACTGAAAGGTGTCAGTATTGGTGCCTTGGGTGTTATTGTTCCAGTGGGATAGGAAACAAGAGTGCCTTCTCAAAGGGAAATCCCACTGAAGAATGTGAAATCACAGTGATCTGAACCCATCACTGAAGGGTCTAAGGAGGAAAATCAATTCATCCTATTCCATAAAGCAGAGGCTCACACTCTTCCTACATTTTTGAATGTTTTCAGTGAAGTTGACATTGGCACAACCCAGCCAAAGAAAATCATGACTGTGAGAAGACACAGAATTTTGTTGAGCCACAAAAAACCATTAATATATTTACTATCAGCAGCAAGAAAAATACTGGCTGCTCATCAACACAGAAAAGGTATTGGATTTTGAATGTAAAGGAGTATTGTGCCTGCCCAAAGAGCAAAAAACCAAAGCAAGAAAAATGAGTTTTCCAATTGCTTCTTTTTTTCCTTTCTTTTTTCTTTTTTTATTTAATCTTAAAAAAACAAAAACAAAAACAAAACAAAAACCCAAAAGACAAGCAATAAAAAACAAACTTACTTATTGGTAAGAACTTAATGAGAATGTGCTAGACATGAGGAAGCTAACCAAATTTGAAATTTTCTGCCTTACATTTCTTTGGAAGCTTCCTTTTTGGAATCTCCACAGTATCTTAAAATGCAGTCTAGTTCCTTCCCTGAGTCTGCATCTGGGTAGTGAATGAAATGTTTCACAGCTGAATGGAAGAAGCCATTAGGTCCATGCTGTGTTTCTGTTACTCTGCATGTGCCACCAGGTTCCTTGTAATTAGTGGCCCTGGTAGTGCAATTATCAGTAAGGAACTGCCCACGTGCTCACCTCTGCTATGAACTGCACAGGTGTATGTGTGCGTTTTGTCAGACAGGAGAGTCCCACCTGCTCCTACAGCAACCCTCAAATAGCTCATCTCTGTTATCTCTGACCTCTGCACAGACTGGGGCTTTAGTTCTAGGTGTTACATAGACAGGCAGCAGCAACAGGCTGATCATGTTGTACATGAACCTACCCCTGGAAACACGACACTGTCCTAGAGGAACACCAAGTAAATGGGGGCTGTCCTTACCTGCCTTAACTGTGTGATTTCTCTTGCCTGAGCAGTGGTTTGCTGGTTAAGGGAGGAACTATTTGTTTACTCAGAGTATGTTGCTGACAGCACACACCTAAAAAGAGAGCATTTCATTTCAGTGTCTATTCATGGCAAGAGTTTTACACAGCTTTTGAAATTTATAAGGGGATAGTGCTAATCTTTGCTCCTACTGTTGTGTTATATGCTTATAGGAAGCAATTCTGATAATAATGTTATACAAAGTAATTTCCAGATAAAGAAAAATCCCATGTTATTTACTTCCTTTGTGATATTTATGCCACTTGCTCTATAGGTAAGTCCTTTGCATTCACATCTGATGAAACAAAATACTATTTATCTGCTTTCCCTGTCAAAAGAAAATCTGATTCTTTCACCTCTTCCCTCACCTTTCAGACCACCTCTGGCTAAAAGTTTGCTGAGGCAATGGGAACATCACCTTCATTAAAAATGTGTTATTTTACACCATCTCCATGTGAAATTGTTCCATATGAGACTGGGAAAGAACATATGCAACATGGAATTCCTCACCTGGAAGCCCCTGGAAACAGCAGCAGCATTCTTCTAGTAAGTTTAAACTTTTTCACAGAAGAATAAATCCAAGGCCCTTTGGTGTCACCAAAAAGATGCCCAGCAGTTATAACAGACTTTTATTTATGGCCCAAAAAAATAAGGCCCTTGAGTGCAGGATAAAACAAACTAATAACTGTTTATTGATTATGATATAACTGATGACTTGATCACCAGTGTCTGAAGGAAGGGTTTTGTGTTTTCCTTGCACATGGTAGCTGGCCACCAAAAAGGCTCTTTACTAAGGTCAAATCACAATTTTATATATATATATGTATGTATGTATGTATATATTTATATATGTATGTATACATATATTTATATGTATAAAATATATATTTCCTCCTTGCCCAGAGATAGTTATGAGTGTACTGAATGTACTGCAAATATGCAAAATTAGATCAGACACAGTGTTTAACTTCCTTGGTCTAGTACATAGATGCATTGGTGCCTTTTGTAGCTTTTGTAGGTCTTTCTATTCTTACTGGCAGTAAACCCTCACCCCCTTTAAAATGTGGGAAACACAAGCACTTACAAATAGACAGGAATATCTGAAACAGTAGTTTTCATATCAGAATATCAGAATATCAGAAACTGAAAGGCCTCAGTGTGACAGTCTGACCTGCCAGCCCTTCAGTTCACAGTGGAAAGCTGTGATGGACACATGCAGCTCCCTTGCTGAGCCCAATACATATTTACAGCTGCCTCCCAGAGAACTGCAGCTTTGTGAAAATGGACCCAAGTTTTGTCTGCCCTTTGGGGGATTTGTTTACTGTGAGCCTAAGCTGAACCCCCTTGGGCTCACTTCTTTTCAAGGCAGGTTTAACAGGGATCTTTTCCTCCCTGCTCAAGCAGTGAGGAGGGCCAGCCACATCTTCAAATGTCTGTCATTATGTCCTGCTTTTCTGCCACATGTCACTGAATGAAAGGAAACCTGAGGATTGTGACACACCTAGTTATCACTCTGGGTTTTGATTTCCCAGGCTCTCTTTACATTTCAGCTGAGGAAATAAATGGTAAAATATTGCACCGAAAAGTTGTCAGAATGCCACACACCTGCCACAATATTTTGGTACATTTTATTTATTAAGATGTATGTACTGGATACAGATGAATTTTTTACTCAATATTTATTGCTGCATCTGTCATGAAACAGGAATTTTTGCATACATTGGTAAATGTGTAGGGAAGGTGCCTGCCATGATTTCTCTGATGATTGTTAAATACAAATGTGCTTTGTTGAAATGCTCCATTCTAAGTCACACTGATATGCTCTGGAGAATTAAAATGTTCTACATCATGCTGGGGAGCAGCACTTTTAAGAGGAGTAACTGTCCTTATTCCTCAAAAATGGAAAAACATCACTAGCACAGAAGTATAACAAAGTTTTGGTGCTTGGTAATACTGAGAAATGCTGTGTTTATTAAATTCTGTCTGCAATTTATTCATTTAAATGTTAGACAACTATTCAGGGAGAAGAATTTCTCTGGCTGTTATCTTGTCCTAAACATAGGGTCAGGCTCCAGGGGGAGTCAAAATGCAGTGATAACATTGTGATGTATTACAAACAGAGCAATCAAAGTTGCAGGGCTTAGTGCAGCCCATGAAATGCAATAGCTGGAGGCCATGTCAAATAAACTCCCAGCAGTAAGTCTCTTCCACCTTGTGTGATACTATTGATCCAGGAACTCCTCCAAAAGCACAGGAGAGCCACAGTTCTGCTACAAGTGATCTTTTGTACTTGGAATGAGTTGGGGCAATAGTTTGGTTCTTCAGTGACTATAATCATTTGATAATAATTCAAAGATTTACATTACTACTGGAAGTATTGGAATCAGAATAAACCAGGGTTCATTCTAGTGAAATTCCTACTTAGCTTTAAGCTAACATATTTCAAGTTGCTTTGAGGCTTATCCAATGTATTACTAAACACTGACAACAGAAACACATAACACTATCTTTTTTGGAAAAAAAATCTTATCCAGACAACATGCAGCTGACTAATGTACACAGAAACAATTTGGATATCTACTGATTTGACTAAGAGATGTGAGGAAATTAATTCAGAGAGCCTGTGGCTCTTTTCAGTTAGGAAAGGCATGATTACTTGCGTGGAAACTATTTTCCCATCACCTTGTGCTGAACTTAATTATGACACTAAAACCCTCAGGACAGACATGAACCCAAAATACCAATCATGTATTCAGCAGCTGGTGCAGGTACCACAGCTCATAGTGTCTGCTATTGGGGGTGTGTTGGAAGACTGAACATGGAAGGAGATGAACTGACAGGTGTCAAAAGAAACAGGAAGGAAGGTCACTAGCCTTTCATTCTAATTCCAGCATGCCTTTCTGAAAACATCTGTAGAAAAGCAAGTGGAGTGAGAAGCAGTTGTGCTGGGGATGCAAGGTCTGGACGGCAGCCATTAGTTGTGTGAAAAGTGATTAAGCTCGAGTGCCATGGCCTTTGTTAGGCCAGCTCCCAGCGGTACTCAGGATCCCATAAGCTGCTTTTAGTGCTTACATGTTTCCCCCACTGCTCCGGGGATTAAGCAGGGCCTGCCGGTGCCTGAGGAGGCCGAGCTGCCCTGGGGTTTCACTGCATTGCTCACTGGGGCCAGGAAGCTGCAGCTGGGCTGGAGGCAGCTCTTGGCTTTCCCGTCCTCTGGAGCCCTAAGCTTGACTCCCCTTCCACGCTGCTCAGCTGGGACCTGGTGGGAAGGAAATGGCTGCTTTGGGGAAGTTTATTCTGTACACAGCAATTCTTTTGTCTTGTCCTTTTCTCTTCTGCTCTCCCCAAAGCAGAGGTGAAGGCTGCTTGGCCTGGCTCGGCCTGTGGCTCTGTACCTTTGTACTCTGTGTTCAGGCTTTTGTGTTGCCTTGGGCTAAGCAGCTGTGAGGGGAGTGGAACTGCATAGATGTGTGGGTAGGTACAGGGTGTAAAACTTAATCAAAAAGACAAAAAAGATGTTTAAAAAATGTATTTTGACCAGGAGTAGCAACCACCCCAAGGAAAAAAACAATGCATGAAAGCTTTAAGAAGGAAGCTGAAAGCCAGACCTTTGGGCAATATGAAACGTGTTGCTGCATTGAAGTCTGATCAGCCCCAGCTGAGAGAAAAGCCTGCAAAAAAGGGTCTGAGAAAATGAGAAGGGAATGTCTCGTACACACAATGCTATGAGCCATGTAATTCTTAGAGGAATGGAAAGAATGCTGTAAAATCAAACTGCAGTCCACCTTCCTTTTTCCTCTCTATTGATTTGGAAATTGCTGACCAATTTTACATGTTTCAAGTAGCAATCCTAGAGGAAAAGGTAAGGTGCAAAGAACCAAGTATATGTGGATATATATACTCAGTACTAGACTCCCAATGCAGAGGTTTTATAAAATGCTTTGTACAACATGAGCTACAGTTATTTCAGTTGTAACTTAAACAGCATATAACAGCTTCCTTTAAGGCCAGGCAGTACTGCTGATACTGAGAACCTGCTTCTATCAAGTCATTAACACTTCTAGTCAATACAGTACTTTTAAGTTAAAGAATTATCACATGTATACAACTTTTAGCATGCTGTCCTAGTTAAGTATTTGAAAACTGTAATTAAGATTTTAAAGCTGGATGAGAGGCCCTGAACTAAGTCCATTATCCACTTCTAGAGATGTTTGAATTTGGCAGTTCTGTCACAAGCCTTGCTGTTGAGTTTGCTAATATTGTGACATCGCCTTTAATGTTTTCCCCTACTCATAGGCTGGACAGGAGATGTTTAGAAAAAAACACTAAGGTAGGGGCAAGTGTTGCAATTTTTTAAATTTAACTACTATTCTGGTCCACTTAATCTTGTGACATCTGCCAAGAACTGAATATACAGGAAAGTAAGTTTTAATTTTTCATTAGATTCTGGCATTTTAAAATGCTTCTGCTACTCAGTGAAGACTGAAGTCCAAGTTGCATGCACAAACCGTATGTGAAAGAGCCTGTTTACTATCCAGAATGTTTCTAAAAAGTGTGAAGTTGCTGTTCCTTACTGTTTGTCTCTAAAGCTATGGACTGAAATAGCTGTGAGCATCTTTGAATTTCAGCAGCTACTTAAATATTTATATAATACTATTGCAAAATGTATGGCAGCCTTTTTAGCTTGGAGATGTAATTAAAGGGGCAGATGAGTACATGAATTCTTCAAGTGCTCATTTATAAGTGTTTAGAGGACTCATTCTAAAAGTAATTAAAGAGTACTGGTATTGAATGTTCTTAAAGTTTGAAAGAAAGGTATGGAAATGCAGTGGTCTTGTGCGTGATGTCAAGACATTTTTCACTGTAGGCTTGAAAAGGCACCAAGGTACACTGAAAGTACTGGGAAATGGGGAACTCCTCTGTGTCCCAAGATTAATCAAGGAGTGGGTTGTTTGTTTGAGTTATGGGTGTGTAAAAGACAGTCACCGCACTAATGGTCCAAAGTCAAGCCAGAGTTAGGCTGATGCTTTCTGCATTCATGCAGCATTAGAATAATAAATGATAGCATGGGATTGCAGCTGTAAGAGAGGCTTGTGCTTTCTTGTTTTCCTGGTCATTTAATGAAGCATTTGAAGGTCTTGAAGGCTCCAATGTTATGGCATCTATTTAGTACCATGTATCAACACCAAAGACGCTGAATCTATATAGAGATTGCCATTCAAATTGCTTCCATGAGAAAATTAATAACATTTTACCTTCCTGGCATTTCAGACTGCTTGACTTTGAGACCAAAGCATGTTTAATGATGTCAATCATCTTCACATCAAAAAAGTATGTTGGGAAAAACTGATAGGGTGTACATAAGCTTCTAATTGCTGTCAGGTCTGAAAATGAGACCTCATATAAAGGAATTAGTGTCATTTAGTATTTCTTTGCTCCCTGTAATGAAAGTCAGGATTCAGATGCTGCCATGGATGTTTTATATAATTAGGACTGGATTTTCAGTCTGTGAATGTAGTGGTTTTAATATGTGCTGAACTGAAGCAGAATTCAAATTGAGCAATGTAAATATTCATTAGCTATGATGAAGTTAAAGCTGTGTTTTAAAAACATTGTTTGTTTCATTCCTGAAGGAACAAACGGGCTGGAGTGCTTCTGCTAGCAGCTCGTGGTGTCATTTGTGTTCCATCCCCCAATGTGACTGTGTGCAGAGGGGCTGCACAAGGACAGTAGCTCTGCTTCCACTGAAGTTACCTAAGAAATTTAGCAGAGGGATAAAATTGTGCATTTCAGCCTTCATCTCTATTGACAGTATAAGCACACTTCAGGCAGATGACCTTAACAATTTAATAATTTCAGCTTGAAATTTCATAGCTGCTTTTGCCAGGTAGCATAAGTTTATGATGACCTATTGGGAACCCTGCAATCAACAGCTGGGGTTTTTTCATCCAGTTACACATTAAACCCACTGGACAAACCAAAGGGTTGAAGAGAAATGTAAATTCTCAGTTTAAAAGACTGCAGCCCATTGGTGAGTAATTACAGCTGATCATTCCATTACTTCCTGGGCAAAAAAAAATAAAAATCCTTAGTATAGCTGGCTGTTTCTAGCACTACATTCCAGCCATTGTATCTTGTTATTCTTCTCTGTTTGATAGCTCCTAGAGTCAGATACCTTCTTCACACAAAAAAATAACTAGAAAGTGTGGAAATTCATCATCCTGTACCTTTTGATAAGGAAAAAAGACAAAACTCACATGAAAAACGTTTTGCAGCTATGATCTATTTTGAGAGGTTCAATTTTTCAATTACTTTGCAGAGGTGTAAATGCAGAAAACTAGGCATGGTCATTCCTTTCTGATAGTATATAGTTTTTAAGTGTATTCTGTATTTCTGAGTTGCAAGTTGCATTGGTGAAATAATGAACTATGTAGCCCTTGCTGCAGTCCTGGCAATCTGGTGAATCCTCTGTGCTGGATGCTGCTGAGTGCAAAGAAGGATGTAGTGTGCAAAAAAAATTGTAGATTTTTCATCCAGCAGATCCATGTTTTTGCTACTTAAATGTTTATTGTCCTCCTGCTGAACACTTGTATTTGAAAATTTTGTGTCACAAGCCAATCCTTATCAGTTTGGTGTTTCAGGCAGGGGCCCCTGCATGCTCAGGGCTGCCTCTCTAAGTGAAGTTTGCAGTTTACAGAGGAGAAGAATCCATCATACTGTGCATAGAATTAGTCATCTCTTGGACTTTCATGTGTAATGCATTCTAGCAAGCTCTGAATCATGTCATTTTGGTACTGTGCAGCAGCCCTCCTTGTTTTGCCTAATGACCATAAACCATAGCAAGGACAAAGGATGCAGATGGCCTTATTCAGAATATATAGACTCACACTGGAGAAGTTCCTGGAGGATTTTCTCACACTGTTCTAGTATGAGTTATACTAACATGGTAGAGCTCCCTAATCACAAAAGACATTTTTATGTCTCTCTGAGTGTCTAGACTTGTAAAACAGCTATAGGTCTCTTCCAATAATGGAAAAAAACACATTTGTGGGTCCCTGAGAAATATGGTTTTATGTGCCACTCTTTCAAATGTATATGTAGGAAATCCCCTGTATCCTGGAGCTCAAATAATGAGGAAAATGACTATCAGGTGAATCCTTGAAATCCTAGCAGATGGCTGTATCTAGCTTGATATAATTTCATCTTATCAGTGATTTTTGAATTGTCTCAAATGTCATCATCTATGCTAAATTACATATTGCATCTGTTCTGCAGGAACAAGTGAGAGCAGGACTGAAATGCTGTTGAGCACACTCCCATCTGCCTCAACCAAGGGGTGCATTTAATGAGGTCTCTTTTCTTCTGCATTTCTATTGTGCCAAATGGAACTAAGCATGTCATGAGGTTTTTTATCAGGAGATGATGCAGATTTTAAACAGTTGGGAAATAATTAAGATAGCTTTTTTTTTTTTTTTTACCAGCACCTTGAAAAAGAAAAAAAAAAAAAAGAAAACAAAGAAATTATGAAATTTACTTTCACAGAAGTTTTTTGGAATTTCTTTTATTTAATTTTGTTTCACATTAATTTTCAGTGTAGAATACTGCATGGAATTTTTGTTACTTTCAGTTTGAAGAGAAGGTCTGGTTAGAAGCCTGGCTCAAATCAGAAAGCTGCCCTGTCACCGACTGTGGCTCAGGTCAGGGGGGGACATTCATTCTAGTGCTCTGAACTACCCAGAGCAGCAACTGAGTTGGCAAAACCACTTGAGGCAAGAGCATGGACAGTTATTCAAAGAGCTAGCTCCCTCACAGCTCAGGATGCCCCAGAGCAATCTGAGCTTGTTCTGCAGGGACATGCTGTCCTCCTGGACAGCTGGAAGAAATTGAGCTGCAAGGCAGATTCCCCTACCCTTCAGTGTGCTCTAGAAGCACATTCCAGGCTGAGCACTTGTGCTTTAGAAAGACACTTTTCTGATGTTCCTGTGATGCCCTGCTGGGTTATTTTAGATCTCCTCATCTAGTGCATCCCTGCTGCTGGAGCTCTGGGAGCTCCCAGCTCAGTGGCCAGCAGCTGGGGCTGGCAATTCCTTACTGCACTTTCTCTTGCTCCCCACACACTGTTGTACACATACCTTCAAAAGTGCTGACTCCTTTTACCCAGGAAATTTGCCATTTATATGATGATATCAAGAAACCTTTGATACTTGGAGAAGTGTTTTGGGTGCTGTTTGAAAGGTCATGCATATAAGTAATTCTACAGCATATGTATTATAGAATTTGGGAGTAGGAAAGTACAAAGGTTGTTTTGTAGTTAGGCTTTGTTTGGTTTTTTAACTACTACCTTTAAAAATACCCAGAGTTTTGCCCTCCCTTCTTTTTTCTTTTCCTTTTCAAATTATATTCTATGAAAAGAATTGTGTTTTTCTTTCTGCTTCATCCTGATAAGAATTGAAGTGTAGGCTGAAATCCTGAAG